ATATATATGTATATATATATATATATATATATATATATATATATATATATATATATATAGAGAGAGAGAGAGAGGGGTATGCAAATTCGGCCTAGGGTTTCTTCAAGAAGGAGTGGCTGAATTTAGGAGCTATAAGGCTCCTTATATAGTTGAGGCAACTAAGGTTTAAGGGATAACCCTAACGTTCCTTTGCTTAAGGCCCAATCTAATCCAGAAGCCTTATCCAAGGCCTTTGGACGAAATCATTAGGGTTTTCCCTAAGAATTTCGTCCATCCCCTCCAAGGGGGTTCTGGAATGTTCCTTCTAACTATTTAATAATTGCAAACTAGTCCTTGTACTTTATAATTAATACAATTAACCCCAAAATTAATTCCAATTAATTTCTGGTTAACTATTAATTAAATATTATGATTTATAATTAATATATTATTTTCATAACACATTAATAAATCATTTAAATTAATTTATTAATCTTATAATAAATCAATTTCTCTCCTTTCATAATTTCCTTGTCCAATTGCTAGGTTTGAGGGCAACCCAAAAGGACTGTGCTACTATCAATTCAAGTACATACAATTTATAGTTATGGGCTTAGACACCTAATCCAACAGTTGGTTAGTGGATTAGGGGTAAGCCCGAGTGCTGTTGTTGGTTAGTGGATCGGGGGTGAGCCCGAGTGTTGCCAGTGGCTAGCTAAGCAGGGCTGTTAAAGTCGAGTAGGAGCATGGTCTAGCTTAGTATGTGACCAGTTGGTTTTCGTTGTGATGGTGCACTTATGTGCGGGATTAGCATAACGGAGTTTGGTCGAGAACATTTTGGGCGGATCAAATTTGCGGATTTTCGGTCAGTTTGGTTGACATGAGGGTTGCGTCAGGTTCCAAATAGGGAAGGGGTTATTTCTGTCATAACTTAAGGGGATTGCGTGGAAACGCTTTTTTCAGGTCGCATGGTATCACCAAAATTTTTGGGCTGGAAGTATTGTCGAGGGATGGTCGAGTGCTGAAGATGCTACAACAAAGATGAATCAGATCTTGGAGTCAGGTTTGAAGGCCCTATTCAAGGGGTTACATCGAGAAGTGGAAGTGAGAACTGATTTCGAGGACGAAATCTAATTTAAGTGGGGGAGAATTGTAACATCCTGTTTCTGGTCATTTCTTAATTTAGGGCCGTGGGCCAAAATCCGATTGTGTGAAGGCTTTGGGCCTTAAGGGGGTAAAGTTAGGTACTTTAGGAGGTGATAATAATGGTTGTGAAATATAAACCCTTGAATTGTGTTCTGGGACAAAGGGTAGAAAAGGGAAAAGTCATAGACCGGGTTCTTGAATGAATTACAGATTTTAGTTCGAGACGTTTTTAGTCCAAGATATCTAGATAATATTGTGGGGGCTCATGAATACCTTTCCGTACATATAAAGAACGCCAAAATTGGAGTTGAAACGAAGAAGTTATGGTAGTTTGAAAGTGTGTTAAATTTGGAATGAGGGTGGTACGCTGGGCGTACCAACATCTCAAAGTTGCGCGTTCAAGAACATACGCAGGGTGTACCATTTGGTATGCAGGGCATACATGATCAAAACCCAAACCTTAAATCTGGGGTTTTGACCCCTATTTAAGATCCTTAACTCCTCTAAACCTCTTCCATTCTCAACCTCCATCTATCCAACATCCTCCCTTGAAACCTAACCATAGTTTGAGCCTTGTGTGCTAAAGAGTGTGCTTTTTGGTACCTTTTAAGGAAAATAGGGTGGTGATAGTGCTTGGAAGCTTGAAGCAACTTTAGATCTGGAAGTTCTTCTCCCCCGTTCATCTCCAGAAGGTATAAAGCTTGTACCTTTATGCCTCCATTGATAGATCTAGCTTAGGTGTTAAAGTTATGTCCTTTTTGTCCCAAAAATTGGTCCATTTGAGTGTGGGTTGTTCCATATCTTGTGAGGTGCATTTCCAGGTGTATATGAGCGTGTTAATTCATAAAAATGCAATCTTGATATTTTCCTTCCATTCATGCATGTGTTATGAAGCTTAGAATCTTATGATAAGTTAGGGTCTTGTATTTGGACTCTTCCTAGCCATGCAAAATCATAAAGTTGAAAACTTTATGATTTAGGATGCTAATTTGGACTTAGAACTGAGCTTTGAACAAAAGGTCTTAAGGGATAAAGTGCTTAATTGAATGTTAGAATTAGCTAGCATACATTGGGCGTACCTGGGAGTATGATTGGCATACTAGGCTTGAATCGCGTACGGTGGGCGTAGGTTGCAGTACGCGAGACATACTCAGCCTGCCTTGGATTTTGACTTCCGTTGACTTTGGGTCAAACTTGATGGTTTTGGACTATTGATTATGATTTTAACTGGTTTTAGTGATTAGGGGATTCACGGGAGCAAGCAGTGCAGAAAGGGAAGCGTGACTCAGTATTTCGGGGTTCTTCATTTGAGGTGAGTTTCTCCTCACTGTACCTGTGGGTCGAAGGCACCGATGCCGACCCACTAGCTTTGATTGTCATTTATTAGGAGGATGCCCTAGGGATTATATGTAGTCACGTAGGATAGACTGAGGACTCTTGATCTAGGCTTTCCTGCATGTTCCATGTTTGGTTGTGGCTCTAGAGTAGGATCATCTGTCCTGGTGGCTATCTCACATCTAGTTACATATGGTTACACATTCCTTGCTGATTTGGTCACATATCCTTATGTATAGGATGATGTTATCTTGTAGTGGTCTGCTATATATATATATATATAT